CATCTAGCGGGTAGAGGCCAGGGATGCCACTAAACATCCTGCAGTGCACAAGGCGGGGCCCTGCAACAAGGAATGGTCCAGCCTCCGGTATCAATGGGGCTGAGGTTGAGAAACCCTGCACTGGGGTGACGGCAAGTTCCACATCCCTTTGCTCACTTGTGAGGGAGTTGAGAAGGGAACACTAGCATCCCCGTTTCACAGAGGAAGAAGCGAAAGCTCAGAGGAGGCAGTGATTTGTCCCAGGCTGTGCAGCAAGTTTCTTCAGTCAACAAATATTTACTAAGCACCTACTTTATGCGAGGCACTATTCTAGAAACAGAACTGGGACTAGGACCCATTCATTTTTTAGGCATTCATCGACAAACATTTGCTGTGCTGGCTGCTGGGAGTGAATCAGACCTGGCCCCTGACCCTCAGAGTTCACACTCTAGAGAGTGAGACAGCCACACAGACAATGACAAGACAGTGAGACTAGGTAAGACCAGGTTGCCTTTGAGAAATCTGGGAAGGCTTCTCAGAGGAAGTGTTTATAAACTAAGATGCCAAGGAGAGTAAGAGTTGGCCACCAAAGGCTAAGGATTGTGTGGAGGGCTTTAGCCAAAGGGAACGGCATGTGCAAACGTGTAGATGAGGGAGAATATGGCTCATTTAAGATCTGAAGATGGGCAGGGTGTGGTGGCTCACGCCTGTAATACCAGCACTTTGGGAGGCTGAGACTAAGTTCTAGGAGGCAAAAGCACATCCAAGGCTCCGATTCCCTCCCCAGTCACTGACCCAGGAGAGCCCTGGAGCGCCTGGGGAGCCTTCTAGCCTCAGTTGCCACCTGCTCCACGTCTGTCACAGCTCGGAGAGGCAGTCCAGGTACCTCAGCCTGGCATTCAAGGCTGTATAGGATCTGGGGCCTGCCAGCTTCTCATTCTCTCTTCCATTATCTTGCTCAGCTATAGGAACCATCTTTAGATCTTTTTTTAAAAAATTAAATTAAAAAAAAATTTTTTTTTGAGGCCAGGCGCGGTGGCTCACGCCTATAATCCCAACATTTTGGGAGGCCAAGATGGGCGGATCACGAGGTCAGGAGTTCAAGACCACCCTGGCTAACATGGTGAAACCCCATCTCTACAAAAAATACAAAAATTAGCTGGGCGTGGTGGTGGATGCCTGTAGTCCCAGCTACAGTGGGGCTTTGGTGCCCACTTATTCTACTCTCCCTGAGCTCTTGGAGATGAACTGTCTGGGCTCCCAGCAGAAGCTGGCTCTCAGTCACGCAGCAGATCGCAGTCAAGGCTGGGCGGCAGTCAAGGCTGTCACTCCTGCAACTCCGTCTCCTACATCCTTAATTCTGTCCCCTCTACTGGATCTTTCCAATAATCTCACCGATATGCTGTATTTCTTCTATCATAAAAAACAGCACTACCGCATTCTCTCTCCTTCGCTTGAGTAAAACTCCTTTAAAGCATTGCCTCCACCTCTCTTGGACCAGCTCCAACCAGGCTTTGGCCCCTATTGCTCCACCCAGCCAGCTCTCATCAAGGCCACCAATGACTTCCTTGTTGCTAAACCTGGAGAATAGTCTGTTCTGAGTTCTCCCACGCTTGGCTCAGCAGCCTTTGTCACCATTAGCCACTCTCTCCTGGAAACGCTTCCTCCAGGCTTCGAGGACATACCTGGGTTGCCCTCCTATCCCTCCGACTACTCCTTCTAGGTCTCTTTGGCTGGGTGCCCCTCCTGTCCCTGACTTCTAGGAGTGTCCCGG